ACTCTCTCACTCTCGCTCTCTCTCTGACAAATAAATAAATAGAATCTTTAAAATAAATAAATAAATAAGATCATAAGAATGGGCTCTGATCCAATAGGACTGGTGTCCTTACAAGAAGAGGAAGAGACACTGGAGATACCCTCCCCACCCCTCTTGGGAAGCACCTAGGAAGGGTCATTTGAGGACCCAGCAAGAAGGGGGCTGTCTACAAGCCAGGAAGAAAGCCTTCATCAGAAACAGAATTTGCTGGCACCTTGACCATGGACTTCTAGCCCCCAGACCTGTGATAGAATCACTGTTTATTGCTTAAGCCACCCAGTCTGTGGTAATTTGTCATGGCAGCCTGAGTAGACTAGTACAGCCCTCAAGGAGCTCATAGTCTAGAAGCTGCAGCAGATGAGGAGTGAGCACTAATGCTGAGAGATTAGTCCTCTGAGATGGAATGGACTTGGGGGGCTGTGGAAGCTCAGAAGTAAGTTGCCCAGTTGAGACTGAGAGGCGGGAGTGGGGGTGGCAACGAAGTCTCCTCAGAGAATGTGATGTGTCTGGGAAACATTGCGGCACCCAAAGAAATGAGAAGGAGAAAGAGGAAAGAGAAGGATGTCATGAGCACGGGGAGCCACCTAAGTACAGGCCTCAGGAAACCTTCAGGCTGAATGGCAGGTCATACCTGGACAAGAGCCAGCAGCCCAAAGAAGAGAATCAAAAGTTCAAGCAAACCATCTGGAGAATGAAGGGACAAGATGAAGAGAGAACACGACTTAGGAGAAAATCAAATTCCAAGATACTTCGGGCAGTCAGAGACCCAGTTCACAATCCAGTGGCTTGTGTTTGTCAGGATAGGAATTTGACAGCAAGTATCTCCTGTATCATCATCATCATTGCCTTTCTACCGCCTTCTCCCTTCAGCACATGCACCCGCTGGGTCTCTGCTGGCCTGAGAACTCCTGCTGGGCTTTCTCTCTCACCCTCACCAGTCACAGCCTTTCCATTCACTGCTGAGTTTCTTGTATGAGTCACCTATACCCACCCCATCTTCTCCCGGCTCTTCAACCCACTGCCACTCTTCTCTGAGGTCCTCAGTGGCTCTTAGCTGCTGTGTCTTTGTGTGATCTGACCCTAGTGTCACTCCCTCCCTCTGGAAACCCTTGATGCTTCGAGGGAATGCCTCTCTAGTCTGCGAGTCTCTTGAGGGCAAAACCTGTATTTGCTTTAGGCATTGGTGATGTGCCCATTGCCGGTGCAGTGCCGGCCCTCAGACAAGCATTTGACAACTGTCAAATAAATAACTCTCTTGACATCTTTGACACCTCTCCATTCCAGTTATACACCTATTTCTCTGGCCCTTCTTTTCCAGCGTCCCTCACCGAGGAAGGCTTCTTCCGCCATCCTCTCCTTAAATGTTGCTCTTCCCGAAGGTTCTGTCCTTGATCCTGTTCTTCTTTCTTACAACTTGCTCTCTTTGGGTCGCTTCTTCCACCCCCATCTATGATGACTTCTGTTAGATCTATGTCTCCAAGCCCCATTTCCCTCATGAGCTGCAGACCTGTAGGCCTCCAACTGGACAGCTCTCTCTTCACGTCTTGGGAAAACACCCTCAGGTCCACGTGTTCATAACGAACGCCTCCTTCCCCCCACATCTGCTCCCCATCCTTCCTTGCTTTCTCTGACACCGCCTTCTATGAGGTCACACAATCCAGATACCTGCTAGTTTTCCACCTGATCGAATTCTGACAATTCTAGCTCCTTAAAGCTCTTACATCCATCTCCCCCAGTCCTGTTCTTTCCACCCATACCCTACTTGAGGCTTTCACCCTCTCTCACCCGGGTTACGGCATAGACTGTGGGCGACTTTCTCTGTGTCCCCTCTAGCACCCTTCCCATCCTTCTACGCTACTGCCGCAGTGTGAGCTCTCCAAATTGGACATCAGCTGAAGCTATGCAGACCTGCTTCACCTTCCAAATACACTGGAATGCCTTAACGTGACAAAGCAAGTATGAGAACAAAACTTGCAACTTCTGGTAGACCAGCTGGCCCTCCCAGAGCAAGCGCGGGCATTTGTCCCAGGGTCTGTGGTGTAGACAGGCTATACCTCCATTCTTCCAGGGAGGAAGAAGAGACAATAACTATTGATCCATTCTAGAAACCTTGCCCAATGCCCTTGCATTCTGATATTTACCAAACATGATTTGTGAGGAAAATCCCACCTGATGTGCCTCCCATGGAGAGCTTGGGAAACAGCTCTTGAGTTATTTGGCAGGGTGGAGACTAGAATGAGGTAGGTAAGGAAAAAAACCTAAGGAGGCATCCCCTCGGGACCGTGCACGCACCTTCTTAAATTCTGCACCGTGGGCACCTCACGGGCCTCACCCCCTTGCATGCACATGTTCACTGTGCTTCACATTTCATTAGTAGAAACTATGAAAAGAAGCCTGCATACAAATTACCAGCAGTTTATGAGTTGAGAATCTAGAGGAAATTAAGTGAGCCCTTGAAAAATGGAGGCTACATAAAAATAAAACTTAACCTGGCAGGGGATGTGTAAGTCGGGTCCACCGTTCTGGAAAGCCATTTGGCTAAATATATCTGGAGCTTAAAAGTTCGTGTACAATTTGACCCAATACACTTCCAGGAGTCTATTCTAATTTAAAAACCCTATATGTGGGGCGCCTGCGTGGCTCAGTGGGTTAATCTTCTGCCTTTGGCTCAGGTCATGATCTCAGGGTCCTGGGATTGAGCCCCGCATCGGGCTCTCTGCTCAGTGGGGAGCCTGTTTCCCCCTCTCTCTCTGCCTGCCTCTCTGCCTACTTGTGGTCTCTGTCTGTTAAATAAATAAGTAAAATCTTAAAAAAAAAAAAAAATCACATATGTAAGGATTCCTGGCTGGCTCAGTCAGTTAAGCATGTGACTCTTGACCTCAGGATTGTGAGTTCAAGCACTTTATGGGGTCATATAGCTTATTTAAAAAAAGAAAATCCTCTATGTAGACAACTATTCTCATGTACAAAGATATTCACGTATAGTATTTATAATAACAAAGGAAGCAACTCAATGTCCAAAATACAGAGGAAACTGCTTAAATGGTGCTAAATTATGTATTATTATGCATCATAATGCAGTCATTGAAATGATAATTATGTAGGCTGTAAATAAGTAAACATGCAGACAAAGTCATATTAAATAACTTGAGGTTATAAATGTAACTATATGTATAGAATAATCTCAAACTAGTTAATACTCAGTATGTGCTTAGACAAAAAGAGTGAAAGAAAATACACAACCATGTTAACAACGTTAACACCCATAAATTTTTGGGTTGGGGGATTATGGGTGAATTTTGTGTTTTTAATACACTGATCCCATTTTTGAAAATTTTAAAATTTTAGTAGTCATATGAATTTCATCATAAAAACATGAAAGTTTTATAAGTGATTTTTTAAATTTAATTTTTTTAAGATTTATTTATTTGAGGGGGTGACAGAGGAGAGGGAGAGAATCTTTAAGCAGACTCCTCTCTAAGTGTGGAACCCAACCTGGGGCTTTATCCCCCGGAGCTGATCCTGGGACCTTGAGATCATGACCCTGAGAGCATGACCTGGGCCAAAACCAAGAGTCAGATGCTTAACCGACCACACTACCCAGGTGCAAATAATTTTTTTTTTTTTTTTTTAAGAAAATCTATTTCACTCTCTGGGACTTCTCTTCATCATTGGTGTTCACCAATAGGTCGCCACTCCAGCTCGGTTTAGGAGAGAGGCCGAGAAGTTCTCGGTGACAACCAATAGGGTTTGTTGCCGCAGCTGCTCTTAATCCTCCAGAGCACATTTGATTCAGATAATCTCTGTGGCTGTACCGCTCCCCAAATTCCTGTTTGCCCAAGCAACCTGAGAGTCTGAGGGAACCAGGGCATGTGGCTTGTACTCAGCAGTCCCCCTCCGTGCCCAGGACTTCCCACGGTCCCCTGATATTTGAGCTCCTGGTTTTGTGATGTCGTTAAAACATCCTGGAGTGCTGTGCACCGTCGCTGGCTGTCCGGGAGCCCATGTGCGGAGGGCTCTCAAACCCCAGGAGGGGGGCGCTGAAGAGTCAGACCCCCAGCCCTGTCACTAGCCCCGATCTGCAGAAAGCTACACTTCCATTCACACTAATTGATATTTCGGACCTCTGTTCATATTTCCGTCCAGAGATAACAGACCTGAAGCTGAATTTGGACCTAAAGCTGATAAAGAACTGAGAGTCAAGAATGCCCTGACTGCCTCTCTTTCCTCATCCGTAAAGAGGGAGAGCTGGATCAGGTTTCCTCCAACGGTGCTATTTCACTGATGAAGGTGGGGCTAGCAGGTGTGCGGCTGTGTGCTGCCATCAGTTAGTGACCCAGGCTGCCATCAGAGCCACCTGAGTGAGTCCAGGTGCCAAAGGGACCATCCACCTCTGCCCCCGCTGCCTCCTCGGTATGGCTGGGGGCTACACGTACCATTGACAACGAGCAAGCAACTGGTCTGCAGGCAGGTCCGTCCCTGCACCCTCCCCATTTACTAGTAAGGGACAATCAAATGACCCCATCTAGCCATACAGCTTGAAGAAAGCTGCCTTGTTTTCTTTTAAAAGACATTAAAAGAGATCCAGATCCACGAATGTACCAGAAATAATTAGAACTAAAATCATTCTCACTAATTAAAGACTCTATTGGTTATTTGAGAATTTGCAGATTTGTCCCAACCTAGGAGGCAGACATCAAAATAATTGCCCTTAACTTTTTAAAATGAGGTGAATATATTCTTTTTCCTGGAGTCTTTTGCGTAAGACAATTCATAAGAGATTCGCAATGACAGCACTGTATCTAATCTAACATCATTAAAAACAACATAATTCCAACTTCCTAAAAGGGAGGGAGCAGGAGAACAAAGGGAAAGGTGGGGAAGGGCACCCACATAAAACACCATATGTTGGAATTGCCTCAGGGCAATACCGTGAGCTATATCCCCAGAAGTCCACTCACCTGCCTTTCTTAGACATCTCGTGTACTTCTCCTCCTCGTCCATGCACTTTGCTTTCAGTGGCCCAAACCCATCCCCACCACAAAATGAAGACTCCAACTTTCATATTCTGGACAGCCAGTATGGGTTTCCAAATGCAAATGGTTCTCTCAAAAAACAGCAAAAAGGAAAATGATGTTCTTTTCTCTTTTAAGACATTATTGGTCTGTTCATTAATTCCAAGGATGTTTACTCATGCAAAAAAAAAAAAAAATCAAGCCACAGTATGTAATCTGGAGAGCAGGAGAAAGCAATTTCCACTAAACCTATAAATCCTCCTACGTCAGATGTCAGGGATTTTCTGAACTGAGGTTGAAGTCCTGTGTTCCTGTGGAACAATTATTTCGGCTGGTCTAAATTAGCTCATCATCAGATGTGGTGAATATGTTAGTAAAGATCTGTATTTTCTGGTCCAATGAATAGAAGGAAAATGGACCAAAGCAATTTCCAAAATGAGAAATGCTAGAGGTACTGACTGCTTCCTATGCCAAGTTAATGAGCTCCTCCCTGGATCTATTTTAAGCTTCCAGCCATTATTATTTGCTTTAGCTGAGGGCTGGATTTGCACAGCTCCCTGCCCCCACTCCCGCCTCTGCTGAATCCACAGAAGCCTGGGGCTTCCTACCTGGGCAGGTTGTCTATATGGCTGAGGTTGGGAGGGCTAGCGGTGGGGAGGAGGATTTTTTGGTTTTGTTTTGCACAGAAAGAACCAAATTTCCTTGTCAGTAGTATTATTTGTATTATGAACTTGATCAGACTTTTCACATTTAAAGAATACCAGTAATAAATTAGCAACAGCCATTAAGTCTGTGCTATCTATTGATAAAAGAATGGGCCCCAAATGGAGTCACTTATGCTAAGCTCCACGTCACCAAACCAAGACTTAGTTTTGGATCCCAGAAGTGGAATCTTAAATAATTGGATCAGAAGTCACCTAATTAGCACTAGTTAGTAAATTGCCTGATAGACCCTTGCCACCCCCTAAAGGAAAGTAACCTTGTAGTAACGAGTCTACTTTTTCATCTAGTGTAACTTCCTTGTCCCATCCCTTTTCTGCTTATACAAATTTTTCATTTTATGTAGTTCCTCAGAGCTCCTTTTTATCTGCTGGATTAGATGCTGCCTGATTGGTGAATCATTGAATAAAGCCAATAAGAGCTTCAAAATTTGCTCGGTTAAGTTTTTTAAACACCGTATATAATTTTTCTTTTTCTTTGATGCTTATTCAAAGACTGATATAAGCAATGGCCAGCGTTCGTGTCTTTGATAAAAAAGGGCACTCCCAGACCTTGTGGACAACGATAGCACAAGGTCATTCAAACTGCTGACTCTTCAAATCTCAGCTGACATGGCTTGGATAACTTTCAGAGTATATTGGTGGAACTTAGTCAGGATTTCCAAGACTCTTCGTAGCTGAAAAGCAGACAGTTGCATGAAACTGCTAGCCCATCATCCATAAGAAAGAAAATTAATTAAGTAAGACCAAACAGATTGGTACAGGAAATTTTATTGAGGTTATTTGGAGCACTGTTGACTTGTTTTAATGTCCTATTTGTTGGATGTGTAAGGAAACCTTTCCTTTTTTCTTCTTATGCTGTATGCAATTCACAATAATTTTGTAAATTCTACTGTTGTAAACTAAAACAAAACATTTAAAAATGACATGTAGTTCTAACTGACACAATTAATTACCCTCCTCAGGTAATTCAGAAACTTACTTAGTCTCTTTACTTTCAATATAATTGTTTACATATGTTTAGTAAGTATCTGTCCTCCTTTGTGCCAAGACATAATTGGAAGATTCCATTATGCAAGCAATGCCTTGCCTGGAATATTGTAGTTGAGAATGATGTTCAGTTGAATAAATGTGACAAGCCATTCTAAAGAACAAAGGGTGGGGGTCCCCCCTGGCTCAGTAGATAAGGCATCCAGCTCTCGATCTAGGGATTGAAAGTTCGAGCCCCACGTTGAGTGTAGAGATTACTTAAAAAGATCTTTTTAAAAATTTTTGAAAAGAGTAAAGAGCAAAGTTTGGCTGTAAATATGGAGTCAAAGCTTATAAAGTCCTCCCAGGAAAACTGACCTGAATGAGTTCATAGGGACCAGCCTGATAGTTAGTAAGGAAGTTCACTTCAAAGACAAACCATTGGGATATTTTTTCAAAACCTCAAGAAGAAAGGAATTTATCCAAATGTAAAGGTACTGCAGCTAAAATCTGGTGGAGTATCTTGGGACAACAAATAAGATGTGTTTTTCCAAGTTTCTTTATGAACACTTACAGACGGAAGTTAATTTGGGACCATTCAATACTGTATGACTCTAGATTTCTCCAAGTAGGCTGAGAGGAGGCCTGTCTAATCAATAAACAATTGTGATGCACCTATCTAATTAATCAGCCAATCCTAATGAGACCAGCTTTTTTTTTTTTTAAATAAACATATATTTCTATCCCCAGGGGTACAGGTCTGTGAATCACCAGGTTTACACACTTCACAGCACTCACCATAGCACATACCGTCCCCAGTGTCCATAACCCCACCCCCCTCTCCCAAACCCCCTCTCCCCAGCAACCCTCAGTTTGTTTTGTGAAATTAAGAGTCACTTATGGTTTGTCTCCCTCCCACTCCCATCTTGTTTCATTTATTCTTCTCCTACCCCCTTAGCCCCCCATGTTGCATCTCCACTTCCTCATATCAGGGAGATCATATGATAGTTGTCCTTCTCCAATTGACTTATTTCGCTAAGCATGATACCCTCTAGTTCCATCCACGTTGTTGCAAATGGCAAGATTTCATTTCTTTTGATGGCTGCATAGTATTCCATTGTGTATATATACCATATCTTCTTTACCCATTCATCTGCTGATGGACATCTAGGTTCTTTCCATAGTTTGGCTATTGTAGACATTGCTGCTATAAACATTTGGGTGCACGTGCCCCTTCAGATCACTACATTTGTATCTTTAAGGTAAATACCTAGTAGTGCAATTGCTGGGTCATAGGGTAGTTCTATTTTCAACATTTTGAGGAACCTCCATGCTGTTTTCCAGAGTGGTTGCACCAGCTTGCATTCCCACCAACAGTGTAGGAGGGTTCCCCTTTCTCCGCATCCTCGCCAGCATCTGTCATTTCCTGACTTGTTAATTTTAGCCATTCTGACTGGTGTGAGGTGATATCTCATTGTGGTTTTGATTTGTATTTCCCTGATGCCGAGTGATATGGAGCACTTTTTCATGTGTCTGTTGGCCATCTGGATGTCTTCTTTGCAGAAATGTCTGTTCATGTCTTCTGCCCATTTCTTGATTGGATTATTTGTTCTTTGGGTGTTGAGTTTGCTAAGTTCTTTATAGATTTTGGATACTAGCCCTTTATCTGATATGTCGTTTGCAAATATCTTCTCCCATTCTGTCAGTTGTCTTTTGGTTTTGTTAACTGTTTCCTTTGCTGTGCAAAAGCTTTTGATCTTGATGAAGTCCCAATAGTTCATTTTTGCCCTTGCTTCCCTTGTCTTTGGCGATGTTCCTAGGAAGATGTTGCTGCAGCTGAGGTCAAAGAGGTTGCTGCCTGTGTTCTCTTCAAGGATTTTGATGGATTCCTTTCTCACATTGAGGTCCTTCATCCACTTTGAGTCTATTTTCGTGTGTGGTGTAAGGAAATGAGACCAGCTTTTTTTGATGACCAAGAATAATCTTTAAATTCTGTATGACCACAGAGGGAAGGAAGTCTGCCAGGAAAAACTGTCAGATACTGAAAGGGATGAAAGAGATTATTGGGTGTCCTTGCAGTAGAATGCTAAGCCTTGTCCAGCAGACCCTCCAGGGATTATCTCATCCTCTCGGGATGTGGCCTTTGATTGTCTTTGACCAGGCTTTTTTACAACTCTGTCCAAGTAGACATCAACATGTTGAGAGATGATAGTAATGTATCTTTTCTGTCCATAGCTTTGCAAAGTATTCCTTTTGTTCAGTACAGAATATAAATCAAATCCTCATATGAACTAGTTGTAACATCTTACTAGTCCTCTTGCTAATTAATGAGTTAAATAAAAACTTTGACATGTGTTCACTTTTATAGTTAGATGAGAGTTATGATTAGATCTTCTTATATAAATTATCCTTTAACAGCAGTCAATAAACAGATGTTGAAGATAATTCAGTATATAGAAATAAGGGCAGAATATGTGATGTCTCCAGAAGTCAACACAAGCCAAGCATGATTAGATACTCAATTGTATCTCAGTGACTTGCTGACCTGAATAATCAAAGTGGCAAAAGGAAAAGATCCTGGGGCTGAGTATACAAAAATCTCTAGGCCAAGAAGGCATTGAGGGGTCCATTGAAGGCTCTTTGGTGCTCATGTTGTAATATTGGAAAATGTAGTTCTTTCTAGTTTGGAGGACCCTGGACATAAACAAAGAGGGTAAATCCAGATGGCTTCAAATACCCATTTCTCACCTTCTCTCAGTAGTTTAGCAGAGAGCCGGCTCAACAGGTCTGAGTCTAGCTCAATGCAAGGACAGGCTGATGCTAGATGCCCAGCCTTCCTAAAAAGGCCACTTCTCCCACCAGACAGAACCCTACGGGGTGAGTCCTGTCTTGGAGCCCTTTCTGCATTTGGGCCTGGCCAATCATACCCAGCCCAAGCATCCTTTGTGGGGGAATCATGAGGGCTCAGAAATACTCAAAAAGTATTGTGTCTTCCCTACTTATAAGTGCTCTTACTAATGTCTTCTCACTAACACCATGTGACTCTACTGCGAAGAGTATCCATGCCATTTTTGCAAGATAAAGATATAGGAGGACTTTGTAAAGATGATAGGGGGCCTGAGACAACCATCTGGGACTAGCATCCAGATTCAGGAAGAGAGAGGAGTTGGAAATCATGATCCAAGAATTACTGAGGACCCAGACTGACTTATTCAAGTATGGTATTTCCAGACCAATTTTAAATACCACTGTTTTTTTTACCATATTCTCCTTTTCCTTTATTCAGCATACCAGTTTCCTTTATTTCTAACTTTTGCTTCCTCTCTCTCTTTTTAGATTTATTTATTTATTTGAGAACGAAAGAGTACACATGCCAGCAGGGGTAGGGGCAGAGGGAGAGAGAGAAACTCAAGCAGACTCCCTCCTGAGCAAAGAGCCTGATGTGGGGCTCAATCTCACAACCCTGAGATCATGACCTGAGCTGAAATCAAGAGTCAGACGCTCAACCAAATAAGCCACCCAGGCATCCCTCTAACTTCTTTTTTTTTTTTTTAATTCCTCACTCATCATGGCCTTCTCTATACCAATGCAGGACCTCCAGGTATTCCTTCAGTGGAGAAAGTATCAGGTAGTAGTTGAGGCTAGGTTGCTTTCTCCTTGCCATTTCTAGGCTTTTCAAGTGTCCCCTTGCCTCCAGCCCTCAGAACAAGCC